CTGTGGATCTGCCTGTTCTGGACATTTTGTATAAATAGAATCGCCTGGTCTTTGTGTCTGGCTTCCCTCGCTCAGCGTTAAGGTCTCTAAGGTTTCTCGACGCTGCAGCAGGTATCCAAGCACCGGTCCGTTGTGCGGACCAACCACGTGTTGTTCATGGACTCTTCAGGGGAGATTTGGGTTTCTGCTTTGGGGCTATCAGAAAGGTCTTCTAAAAAACAAGTCACACGTGGGCGGTGCCTGTGGCTCAAAGGAGTAGGGTGCTAGCCCCATATGCCGGAGGTGGTGGATACAAACCCAGCCCCAGCCAAAAAACAAAACAAAACAAAACAAGTCACATGTTTTCCAGCCCCCTGCTGGAAACCCTGGAATCATTTTATAACACACCTAGACTGAAGCTTGTTGCCATGGCCCGTAGGATTTATCATGCTACTGCCCTCTCTTGGTTCACTCTGCCTTCTTTGTTGGACACACCAAGCTTATTTCCACCTCGGGGCCTTTGCACTTGCCATTCCCCCCCCCCTCTGCCCAGGGTGCTCTGAAATGCCCTTGTATGTATGTCTAGCGCCTTCCTCCTCCTAGTGGAATATTTGAGAGGCAGTCTCTTGTCTGTCTTCTTCACTACTGTGTCCCCAGGCCTAGAATAGTTCCTGGCACACAGGAATCGCTCAGTTTGTTGAAAGGCCCACATGATCCAGGCATGCTTAAGCTACTCCTGCAGTGGCACCAGAAGCCTCAGTTTCCCCAGGGGATCCTTTGTTCTCAAATGTTGGTCATATTATTGGCCCAAGATGTTAGGGATTTGGGGAAAATCACCTTCCTCTCCAGGGTTCCAGATGAAGAGAAGAAAAAATAAGGCCAAACAGCCCTCTGCCTGGCTTAGGTAGCCCCCTTGGTAAAGCTGGAGTGGAAAACTGTGTTGATTTTACTTCTGAGAGAGCAGCAGCGCCCCCTGCAGGAGGAAGGCCCTTCCTGGTGCGTTTACCCCAGGGAGAAGGAAGCAGAGGGGGGAGGCTGTTAAATACCAGAGGGCAGGACAGTGCCTGTGGCTCAAAGGAGTAGGGCGCCAGCCCCATATACCGGAGGAGGGTTCAAACCCAGCCCTGGCCAAAAACTGCAAAAAAAAAAAAAAAAAAAAAAAAAACCAGAGGGTAGCAGGGCTTGTGTATGTGAAAGAGAGCAAAGTTGCTTTGAACACTTCATCTGATCCTTTGCCTCTGCTGTTCCCACCCTCTGGAATGTTCTCTGTGAATCTTCTTCTGAGCTCTCCTCACACTCAGGAGGACCTTTCCCTGCACACATTCCTCTCTTAGAGCACTTACCCTGGGAGAAGAGGGTCACAGTAGAGAGAGACAGGCCAGGGTTGGAGACAGTGACCTGCCCCTTGCTTAAAGTGGCTGCAGCCATGGGTAGAAGGGTCCTGAGTGTTTGCATCAACATCCTCTGTGCAGTCAAATCACTTGCAGGCAAGTGTGGAAATAAGAATTCCTCTGCCGGGCAGCGCCTGTGGCTCAGTGGGTAGGGCGCTAGCCCCATATACCGAGGGTGGCAGGTTCAAACCCAGCCCCAGCCAAACTGCAACAAAAAAATAGCCGGGCATTGCAGTCCCAGCTACTCTGGAGGCTAAAGCAAGAGAATCGCCTAAGCCCAGGAGTTGGAGGTTGCTGTGAGCTGTGATGCCACAGTACTCTAATGAGGGTGATAAAGTGAGACTGTGTCTCTGCAAAATAATAATAATAATAATAATTCCTCTGCCTCCAGGCAGAAGCAGGGACCCAGCAGGGAGAAGGACCCTCCCTCAGCAGTCTGAAAATCCTTTCTCCTCTCCCTTCACACTCCCCTCTAGAGTCCCTCTAATCCAATGGACTGTGTCCTCCATTTCCTGCAGACAGAATAGGCACAGCAGCTCATGCCTATAAACCCAGAGCACTTTGGGAAACAGAGGTGGGAGGATCACTTGAGCTCAAGAGTTTGAGACTAGCCTGGGCAACATAGTGAGACCCTATCTCTATAAAAAAAAAATTAGCCAGGTATGATGGCACATGCCTCCAGTCCTAGCTACTCAGGAGGCTGAGGCAGGAGGATAGGATTGCTTGAGGCCAGGAGTTTGAGACTGCAGTGAGCTATGATCACACCATTGCACTCCAGATGGGGAGACAGAGACACTGTCTCCAGAAATTAAAAGAAAAGCTATAGACATTCTATCAGGTTTCATGCCACTGGACCTTTGCCTCTGCTGTTCCCACCTTCTAGCATGTTTTTCTCTGGGTACTACAACTGGCAACTTCCTAAACTCAAGGTCTGGCCAGACCTCTGCTCTGTGAAGCCTCTTCTGAGCCCTCCTGACAGTCAAGGGACTCTTCTTCTGTGCACACCCCTCCCTTGGAGCACTTATCCCAAGGAAGGAGGGTCACAGCATCCATTGATGTATCTATAAGAGCAGAAACTCTGCTTTGCTCTGTGATGGACCCCTCATACCCAGAACCAAGCATAGTAGTCCCTCAGCAAATATGCACTGAATGGATGAATGAGTGAGTTCTCTGCTAACCTCTGAGCTCCTCAAGGGCATGGCCAACGCATCACTTAATATTGCTGTAGTTTCCATTTTCTGCCAGTTCCCAAATGCCACCCTTGCCCACTGGGGAAGCCAGAAAAGGGTGCCAAAGACATTCTGCAGGGCCACCCCTGGCCAGAACTGCCCGCTGGCCCAATCTCTCAAGGCCCTGCTCTGCCCAGGGTTTTGGCTTAGAGACAAGCCCTCCTGGGAAGGGTGCCCACCAGCAGGCAATCCAACCCTGCTCCACTGCCAGTGCCCAGATGGGAGTCTTTCCCCAGAGTAGGGCTCAAGACTGATCTTTTTCCCAGAGGTTCTCTGACCTGAGCCAAGTCTCATAAACCCACCCTTGCTCTGTGCCATCCTGAGCTTTGAGAGGCACTCTCCCTCCCTGCCCCTCCACACCTCCCAGCAGGCCCCAGAAGCCCATCTCTTCACCACTGGGCAGCAGAGACCAGTGGGGTACCAGTGTCTTTAACAAAAAGCAAATGTAATAAGTAAAGGTAACCTGGCAAAGAAAACTTCCCTTGTTTATTTTCCAGGGCCCTAGCTCATCAATCTTCCCCTCCTAGCCTGCTTTGTGCTCTGTTAGCTTTGCTTCCTGACAAAACAGAATTTGGTTTTCTAATAGCATCTGTCATATGCAGGGTGTCCCCAAACATTAGCAATAATGACTTGGAAATGGCAGAGTTGGAAACCTTTGAAAGCCAACACCAGATGTCAGGCCCTCAGTGGGTCGCTTTGAGGACACGGGGCCTGAGCACAAGGAAAGGGCTGGGTTGAGCCCACAGCCCTGGGTGGTCCCTGGGAGTCATTCATCTAACAAGCAGGGGAGTGCTCACCAATGTGCCAGGCCCTGCCTGCATGGCGATGAAGGACATTGCTGGCTACTGATGAAGGACAGAACTGACCATAGAGAAAACCCCCCTGCCCCCAACTCAGTCGGCTGGGAGGCCTGAGGGGCAGCATAGCAGGGGATTTGAACTCAGATAGACCTGGGTGCCAGGCAATCCGAACCTCACCAGGTTGCTTGAGAACAAAATGAGATAACTGCCATAGGTCACCCAACTGCAAGTCTAACACTTCCCGTGGTGCTTAGGAACCATCAGCACCCGGGCTCCCAGACCTGACAGGTGGACGCACAATGGGGGCTGGTGAGGGGCTACTCAGTCCCTCATTCACACCTGCCCACAGAGTAGACATGAGGCCACTGTGGCGCCTTCCCTAAGGGACATGTGGCTCTCTCCGGCCAGGCCCCAGCCCCTTCTTTGTCCCAGTTCCCACTCTGGAGTTGCTGTCCCGGCTCAGCGAGGCGGGAGGGGCCGCAGGGCCTGGCTTAGGTTTGGGAAACTGCAGAACAGGAAGGAAGCGCGGAGAGGCAGGAAGGGGCCCGGCGTCCCTTCCCCGGCCGTGCGGTCGCGCTCAGCACCCACCGGCGCCCCCTGG